TATATGATAGTTATATATATATCTCGATTCCTAGACGTGACCCAGCGAAACGCCGGGACACGTATAACTTGTTTTTGACCGATATAACATTTCCCGTTGGTTTCATCCCATCCCGATTTTGACTGTCGCATAGTGTTATCAATGAGGGTTTCCGGTCACGAACCCCTGTGCAAAAATATTGCCCATGACGTAGGCGGTGTTGGTCCCGCCCGATTTGTTTGAAAGGTGTTCTCTGCAAAAGGTGTTCAGCTCATTTTCTTCGCAAAACAGAAAGGAGAATTCTTCTGCCTGTTCTCTGAAAAAGGCGTTCAGCTCCTTTTCTTCGCAAAACATAAAGGATAAGGCCGAAGGCCGCCTACGCTGAAAGGTGTTCTCTGCAAACGGTGTTCAGCTCCTTTTCTTCGCAAAACAGAAAGGAGAATACTACTGCCTGAGGGTTATAATCCCTAAGTGCGGCCGAAGGCCGCCTACGTAGAAAGGTGTTCTCTGCAAAAGGTGTTCAGCTCCTTTTCTTCGCAAAACAGAAAGGAGAATTCTACTGCCTGAGGGTAATAATCCCTAAGTGCGGCCGAAGGCCGCCTACGCAGAAAGGTGTTTTCTGCAAACGGTGTTCAGCTCCTTTTCCTCGCAAAACAGAAGGGAGAATTCTACTGCCTGAGGGTTATAATCCCTAAGTGCGGCCGAAGGCCGCCTACGCAGAAAGGTGTTTTCTGCAAACGGTGTTCAGCTCCTTTTCTTCGCAAAACAGAAATGAGAATTCTACTAAGTGAAAATTCCGAATTAAAAAATTCGCTTTTATTATTCAAAATTCCAGTCTGGTAGCACCAAGTTGAATGTTATTTTGCTATCTTATTCATCGTTTATATGAAAACTTTAACAATAAATTATATTAGAACTATAGGGTTGCTAGAAAAAGGGGGGATATTTTTGAAATCAGTAGGTCCTATTCTACCCCCCTCACCCCAATTTTTCTAGAACTTGCCGTCCGTCTACTAAAATTTTCCCTTTTTTATGTTTTTTGTTGTAGAATGAACTATATTTTTTTTACGAAATTAGCGGAAAAATAGAATGAAAATTTTTGCTTATATTGTGAAAAATTTGCTGTGCCAATACTTTGTTCAGGCAGTGTATGTATATGGTTTTTGGATCAGTTCTTGTAAGTTGTGTAGATGACTTCTGTGTTATTAGGAAAACGATTGAAAACAATATGTTTTCGTATTCCAATGAATTTGCGCTTATTTACCGACGTAAACCCGATAAATATGGCTTATACGCTCTACGGTAAAAATAATTCGAAAGTTTCGCCGCTGATAATAATGCATGGCCTTTTCGGTTCACAGAAAAATTGGAAATCTGTAGCAAGGGCTTTAGAAAGCAATGTCGATAAGATGGTAAGAATAATTCGTTTAGTCTCTTCCGATTGCAGGTCAAGTTACTCAATCTCCGTTCTTATTTAACCTAATATGAATTACATAAAAAAGTTTTGAATATATGTATCTACACTGTGGCTTAGGGAACGGCATGGGCATTGTGAAATAATAAGCCAGTTCCAGGTACTTAAGGATTTGCAGGTTTTACAGGATTTACCTGAAAAGCTGTTTTCGCCTTAAATAAACTTTATGAAAGATCGCGTGCGGGAATAGCTTCCTGTAAAAAATTGGGTAATTGTGCAGTTCATGGGTCCCACCGTAAAATGATGCAAAATAATCGATAGGAGTATCAAAAGACGCGTACCCCTGCCAGTATAAAAGCTGAAGCTCCATAGCAGGTTTTTCAGGTTGCGGCTTGAGGCGCTCAAGCCTGAAAGATGATTTAGTGCAAGGTAAAAGTGCACTTCGGCGGAACCAGGCCAAATGCAATTATATAGAAGCTGCTCCACAACCGAGGTCTGAAACGCCTGAAAGATGCCAACTTTCGAACTTGTGTCAGGCTTTTTAGGCGGGTCTGACAGTTGTGTTCGAACATTAGCACCCCTGCAAAAAATTCGACTAATGCGGGATGATTCCGGGAACAATCGCAAAGGAACATGCGACTTGATCTTTTTATATGGAATGAACTGTTCGCTTTTGTTCGAGCATGTCCTATGAAGAGACTAATTGTTCCCCTTTATACCCGAACGGGTATAAAAGGCGTCTAGTCAATTTTAAAAAATAAAAATTTGCGCCAGCTGCGATTCGAAACGGGGTTCAGAGCATGATCCGAACCGTTTTTGCACTTTTGGATTGGTTCGTCAAAGCGGTTTTTTTTGGTCTTTGAACCGGGGTTTCGGTTCGGTTCAACGGTTCGAAAAACAAAAAAAAACACGCAAGTTTATAAGTGTCAAGTGTCAAGTGCAAGAACGCGCAAGGTTAATGCAGCGTTTTTCCTGCATTTAAAATGCAACATTTAGCACTTTCGAACATATGTTTTCGAAGAGCGTTCATGCTATCGCATTTAGCAAATGTACATTTACGCGAGTTCGAAATCGTATGCTTTTGACAAACAGCCGTGTTCCAGTCGCTTATTCAGATCCGTATCCATTACGATAAATTCTCACGGAAAAGATAATGTGCAAAAACCCCTACTGAAAAGGAAAAATAAATTCTAAACCGAAAATTCAATACAAAAACCTGAATTGTTTTAACCATAACCGAACATTTGTTTGTGTATATATTCATTTGTCGGTGCTGCCAATTATATTTTCCACACCTAATTAGGAAACAAAACAAACAGAGTTGATCACAAATTAATCCAGATTTCTATCAGCATCATATCGATGTTGAATTTGCGTAACTTTTCTTTATCCAAATAATGTAAAATAATAAATGAAATCTCGATCGGCGATCACTGAAACGCAGCTAGCGGTTGTATACTCGAAAAAGCAATGTTGCCACTTTTTCTCATTAAACCATGTTCGAATCGTGGAAATTTTGGAAGATCACAGGGATGCTTTTAGCATTTAGATTCTAAATGCAAAGATTGAGTTGCATTTAGTTGCATTTATAGGGCTTTCGCACGAGGCGATTTTTCAGGCAACTTTTAGTTGAAAGCAAAAATCGCCTCGTCCGAACGGCCTTTCAACTAATCGCTTTCAACAAAGTTGGTCGCCAGCCAACTTTGAGCTCGTTCAACTTTTTTTCCTTGCAACCCTGTGTTTGTTTACATTCTGTATCAGTGTTGGGAAATTAAATTGTTCCTTCAGTACGAAATCTATACAAAAAATGTACTTTTCGGCTATAAATTGTATACACTTTTTAATTCGCTCATATATTTTCGTAGTACATTCCCTTCAAGACCAATGAATTTATGGTATTCATCAGAAAGTTTTATTGTTTATGGACATACGTTTACGTAGTTTACACTTTTACAAATTGATTCCACGTGCACATGTACTGCATTTAACGCAAATATGTATGCACACATTTTCAGGTATACATCTTAACAAAAAGCATATTTAAGTTATTATTAATGGATAAAAGAGACATTTTCCTTTGGATTCAGTACTAAAATTTGACATTTTAATAGCATTTCAAGTGCTTATCAAAACTTTACGACAAGATTTGACCATTTATCTTAATAGTATTCAATTTTAATTATTTTTTGTAAAAATACGGTTTATATTTTAAGAAAAGCTGTACAAATTCAAGGTTCAAACTTTGTGCAACATTAAAAAAAAACCAACACACTTTCGTAAAAATTTCGAGCTTTTTAATTCGATTTCCTAGATTTATTTTGAGCGTGCGGTTTTTTAGCCCATTAAATTTTAATATAACTAAGTTTTTTAAGATTTCTTTGATGAAGGTGTTGCTAGTTTTCTCCATATAAAAAAATCGTCGGACACACTTCGTATGGAAGAAAATGGCTGACATCGTCGACAAAAAAAATGCCAAGTTCAAGGTAAGTCCCAGCTACTTTAAACTTGAACTTTATTATACTAAAATTGAATGGGCTAAAAACTAAAGAATATTAATAAAGCTCGAAATTTTTACGAAAGTATGTTGGTTTTTGGATGTTTCGCAAAGATTTAGTCTTAGGTTTGTACAGTTTTTCTTAAAGAATACATTATATTTTACAAACAGATAATTAAAATTAAAGAATAATAAAATAAATAGTAAAATCTTGTCAATATGTGAGTGCCGTAAAGGTATTATATTTACGAAAATCTCTTCTTATAACTAACGAAGACTTTGTTTCTATATGAAGCTGACTTCGACATTTTGTTTTAATAAAACTTAGTATCAAAAAGTTTCTTTAAAAATTTGACTAGGCTATATTATACTGGTTCGTTGAAGCCATTTTTCAAAACTTACAAAGGTAAATACGAACAGGCGAACCAAAGAGAACACAAAAAATTTCTTGCTGTGAATTTTCAGAGCTATATATTTTTAGTATTCATTACAAAATTTTACTAAAAAGGACTGCGTAGTAGGAAAGTATATTGTAAATGAAATTGTATAAAACAAGTACAATTGTACCAAAAATGCCAACACTGTTCTGTATCATACTTTTTTTTCTTTTTTACTTTTTTACTCTTATTTTATCTTTCAGCTTCGCTAAAAGCACTTCTACCAACGCTTGGCTTACCAAATTTATGCCAATTGATCAAATTTTGCGATTTAAATTCATTTTCAATAATGTAAATAACGATTCGTGTTGAATCGAAAATCGCCTCGTCTGAATAGGGATGGCAACTTTTTCACTTTCAACTTCTCATTCAACTACGTATTCAACTTTTGTTGCCTGTAAAATCGCCTCGTGCGAATGCCCTATTAGATGACGAATTTTGTATGGATAAATGTACATTTAGAGTAGCATTTAGAGCTAAATGCGCTAAATGTACATTTACGCGTAAGCAAAAACAGCCCATAAGGGTCAAGTGTCTGTCAAGTGAAATGGGTTGCCTTTACATTTCAATCACAAAACGTATTTGGGCAAAAGAGAAAGCAGGCTCCTGATGTTTCCACTCGTTACAATTAGTCTGTTCCAATAGCAGTCCGGTTTACAGGATTTAGTCAGAACTTACAGGAAGTCGTTCCTATTGACACAAAACCTGTAAGTGGGAACACATTTGAGAGAGTAAATGAGCAACTGTTCCTAGTCAGAAGTTACAGGATTTAGTCCGGAGATTTTTTTCCTGTAAGTGTCAAACGATCAGCTGATTTACATGTGCAAACAAAAACAGAAAGCAGTGAAAGCAAAGAAGCTTATATTTGTTAAAAAATGGAAGTAAACAACGAAATATTTGAATATGTATAAATTTTAATAATTATTTAGTGATATTTCAGCCAAATCGGTGTAGTACCAATGACATGTAAACAAACCGTCTGACGTTTTTACAGGAAATAGTGCTTTTTGCGTTCCTATGCACTTCTGCATCTGTTCTCCTTTTACTCTCATTTGAGAGCGTACAATTGTAGTTTGACAGTTCCACAGGTTTTAGTCCGAAGTTCAAAGGAACAGACTAAATTAGTCTGTTCAGAACTTACAGGAAGTCGTTCCTATTGACATAAAACCTGTAAGTGGGAACACATTTGAGAGAGTAACTGAGCGACTGTTCCTAGTCAGAAGTTACAGGATTTAGTCCGGAGTAAGTCCTGTAAGTTCATGAAAAGTGTCAAACGATCAGCTGATTTGCATGTGCAAGCAAAAACAAACAGCGGTGAAAGCAAAGTACCTTATATTTGTAAAAAAAAATGGAAGTAAATAACGAAATGTTTGAATATGTATAGATTTTAATAATTATTTAGTGATATTTCAGCTAAATCAGTGTTGTACAAATGACATGTAAACAAACCGACTGACGTTTTTACAGGAAATAGTGCTTTTTGCGTTCCTATGCACGTCTGCATCTGTTCTCCTTTTACTCTCATTTGAGAGAGTAAAATTGTAGTTTGACAGTTCCACAGGTTTAAGTCCGAAGTTCAATGGAACAGACTTAATTATAACGTGTTGTCTCTTCTTATAGATTCACGTTCTTTGTAGGCCTGGGTAACGGCGCAAATTTTTTGGCGCTGACACACTAACTCTAGTGCCAATGTCGGAACCAGCACAGTGTGTTGGCGCAATGGCGCCTCTTCAGGCTAAAGCTCATTTCCTTTATTGCTGCACGCTGCACCAAAGTGAATTAATACAAGGTTATATCGGTTGAGAAAAAACTCAAGGATACCCAAGTTTAAAACCCAAAAATACAACAAACCCATCATTTTCACATTCAGAAGGACCGCGACGAACCTTGTATAAATTCGCCTTGTGCTGCACATTTTACAAGAGACACTTCTATTTCGGGTGTTCTTTGCTTGTTCTTTGCGACACCCGGTGTTGAACTAAGGGGAATTAATACAAGGTGGTATCAGTTGGGCAAAAACAACTCAAGTATACCCAATTTCAAAACCCAAAAATACAACAAACACAT